ATCGATGAAACGCCTACGCAGCTTGTCGGCGTAGCCCTGCTGGTGCAGCCACAGCTTCCCCGCCGACCTGTCGCGCACGATCTCCAGCCCGAGGTACTTCTGCACCGGCGAGATCTCGCGCAGCTCGAAGGCGGCCTCCAGCAGCTCCTTCAGCTCCTTCAGCATCTCGGGGCTGCTGCTGGCGGCGAGCAGGTCGTCGACGTAGACCAGCACCCAACAGGTCACCTTGTCGACGCCGACCTTGAAGTAGAGAGCCTCGTCGACCTGACTCTTCTTCCAGCCAGCACCGACCAGCACGTCGTTGAGAGCCTTGTACCACAGCAGCGGCGACTGCTTCAGCCCGTACAGGCTCTTCAGCAGCTTGCACACCCGGCCGGTCCCGTCATTGAAGTAGTCCGGCTGGTACATGTACAGCACGCGGTCGAGCTTGCTGTCGGTGGACTCCTCGTCGCCCAACTGCTCCCCTTCATCGTCCTCGTCGTCCTGCTGCACCTCGGTCGGCGTCCCGACCGATTCCTCCCCTGCGGTCAGCTCCCCTGTCGACTGCCAGGTCGCCGACTGCTCCTTGGTCGGCCTTGTTGCTGCCTGCTCCCCTGTCGGCGTCGACTTCACTCCCACGTCGACTTGCTGCCCGTCACGTCGGCCACCGGCGATGCTCTTGGCCGCAGGCGACGTCCCACTACTCCCCTCATCGCCGGAGGCCGACACCGGAGTCAGTCCACGCATGTCGGCCACGAGGGGAGAAACATGGGTCGTGGGAGGAGGGGAAGGAGGATGGTCGACCGCGATGTCCCCAGCAGCGAGCTCACCGACCGCCGCGAGCAGAGGCAGCGTCGCCGTCGAGGTGTCGGTCGGCGGAGTGCTCGGCGTCCGTCCGGACACTGGCCCGTGCTCCGACTTCCACACCTCCAGCGACATGTCCTCGTAGAACACCACGTCCGACGTGGTGACCACCCGGTTGTCGGCGATGTCGAGGAGCTCCCAGCCTTTGCTCTCCTCCGACACGCCGAGATGAAGGCCCCATCGGGCCTTCGGCTTCAGCTTCCCACCACGCTGCTGCTCGGGGACGAGGAACTGCGCCATGCAGCCCCACACGCGCGCCAGCGACAAGTCGGGCTTCTTCCCGGTGAGCAACTGGTATGGTGTCGTCCCCGGCGTCGCCGACCTCTCCAGGCAGTTGCGGACCCAGACAGCCTGCCGCAAAGCGAGGTGCCACCAGTGGTGCTGGACGCCCATGTGCAGCAGCATCGTCCGCACCGACTCCACCACCGTCCTCATCTCCCGCTCCGCCATGCCGTTCTGCTGCGGAGTGTATGGGCAGGTGAGGTCGTGGAGGATCCCCTTGCCGTCCACGAGGGCGGTGAAGTCCTTTCCGAGGAACTCCCCTCCCCGGTCAGAGCGCAGCATTAGCACCGACTTCTTGGTCTGTCGCTCCGCCATCACCAGCCACTGCTCGAACTCCCGCAGCACGTCGGACTTCTTGGCGACCGGCCGCACCCACACGTAGCGAGTCTTGCGGTCCTTTAGCAGCAAGAAGTACAGGCTGCCGTCCTTGGCAGCCACGCGGAATGGCCCGCACAAGTCGATGTGTACGACGGCCAACACGTCGTCGGCGTCGGAGCCGTGGTCGGGGAAGGTGTGCCTCGCCAGCTTCCCGCCGACACACGAGACACACGGTGAGTCGGCGCCCGTCGCCGACTTGAGGTCCAGCCCAATGACGACCTCGTTCTTCGCCGAGCGCCTGATGGTGTCCATGCCAATGTGTGCAAGCCGAGCATGCAGCCTGTCCGGCGTCGACCTCGTCTTCGAGACGATCGCCCGCAGGGCCACAACCTCCGGCGTGGGCGACGTCGACCTCGTTGAGCAGGGACGCAGGTCGGTGCAGAGGACTCGCCCGGAGTACGTCGCCCGACCAAGCACCTCTCCTGCTGCCGAGACGAGCAGCATCCCGTCGCCGTCCTCGTGCAGCTTCACGCCGTGCTCCTTCAGCTGGCCAGACGACAGCAGGTTTGCCCGCACACCCGGGACGTACAGTACGTCGGGGATGAGCACCTGCTTCCCGGCCTCGCCTTGCAGGGCGACGGTGCCGCGGCCCTGGACGTCCTGCAGCGCCCCATTGAAGCCACGCACGTGCTTCACGTCGCCGCTTGGCCCCAAGTCGACGAAGGCGTCCTTCGTCCCCATCAGGTGGTGGGAGCAGCCGCTGTCGAGCAGGACCACCGCCGGATTCGCCTGCACAGCTGCCGCCACCGCCTGGAAGTCCTCGCCGGCCTCCGGCGCCAGCGAGACGGTCGGCTCCACGACGCCGACCAGAGAGCACGACGCCGACTTGTCGTCCTTCCCCTTGCCGCCAGCAGAGGAGTCGGCGTCCTTCGCCGAGGTCGACGACTTGGTCGACGTCTTCTCATTGCGTGACTGGTTTCCTCCTCGCCGAGGACGACGACTGCCCGACCTCCCGCGGCCACCCTTGGCGTCGTCGTCGTCGGAGTCACTGCGGTCGGGGCACTCAAAGGAGAGATGGTCGGGGTCGCCACACAGCCAGCACTCCCGACGTCGACTTCCTCCTCCTCGACCGCTGTCCTTGGTCGACTTCTTCTTGTCGACTTCCTTGGCCAGCTTCCAGCCACTGCTACCACCGCCGCCAGGCTGTCCGCGCTGCCCCGGTCGACTTCCTTGCTTCGCCGGGGCGACGAGGTTCGCCTGTGCCAAGAGCTCCTGTGACCGCTCTGCCTCCTGCATCGCCTCGTCCTGCAGGATGTACGAGGTCAAGTTGTCCTCGTTGAGCGTCGTCCTGGTGCTCGGCGCCATTGACAGCCGCTTCAGAAGGTTGTAGCTACTCGAGAGTCCCTGCATGACGTGGGTGACGTACGACGCCGTCGAGTACTGCGCGCCAGCCATCCTGATGGTGGCGAGAATTCGCCGGGCCCGATTGCAGTAGTCGGTCGCCGTCTCCTCGTCGCCCATACGCAGGTGCGTCAGCTGCCCCTCCAGCTGTGCGATGAACAAGTCGTCGGTGACTTGGTAGGTCGACTCGATGAAGTGCCACGCCCGGTGGCCGGCGTCGAGGTACTCTCGGCACCACTTCAAGGCGATCTGCACGCCCGGCGAGCAGCACCGGGAGATGACTGTGAAGGTCAACAGCTGCACGGCACGAAACTCCGCACGCAAGTCGGGATCGTCCGGCGTCGCCACGGTGCCTCGAGCAAAGCTGATCAGCCCGGCCATTTCCAGCTGGGGCTCGATGGCTTCCTTCCAGGTGAGTATGTCGGGTCGACCAGTGAGCGGCGGAGTGACCAAGATCCTGTCCGGCGTGAACTTGAAGTAGCCGTAGCTCGGTGCAATCCCGCCTGCTGTCACCTGGGTCGCCGACATCGGCACAGATCCACTTCGTCGACCTCTGACGTCACCCTGCAAGGAGCCTGCAGCCGCCGACGACCGCATCCCTCGCGCCTGAACGACGCCGACTTCATCGGCGTGAATCACACCACGCTGCCTTGACGTGCCTCCCGCACTGCTGCCGACTTGACCACCACCGGCGTTGACGCCCATGTCGACGCCGCCTTCGTCGTTCACCGGTCGAGGAGAGGCAGGTCGAGAAGGGTGCTCCGTCGCCCACATGGTGCGGAGTCCAGCCTCGACGACCGCCCAGGGTATTGCTCCGTACTCCTGGGCGTCATGGCACGGCTCCTCCAGCCGTGCCTCCAGGGTGTCCACCACCCCTGCGTCACCTACGGCTCCTACCATAGTGACCAACGCACAGCTGCCGGCCTACAACGACGAATTAGGTAAGTGATGTCTACGTCGACCCGACTGAAAAGTAAGTCGTGTGCCGTCCACGCTCACCGCACCATGCGGAGATAACTACTACAACGGGAGCTAGACTACGGGCTAGGCACGTGTGCTCGTGTGATCTCTGCGTTCGTTGGTCCTTAGTCGTTTTCCTAGTGTACACACTGCTTGCTAGTTCACAAGGTAATTTTGGCAAGAGTTTTTACTAGAGAAAGTTGACAACAATGATACAATGAAGTTGGCAAGGCAAGACTACATCAGAGCTAGCATGCAAGCAGGACGACTGCCAGCGCAGCACGGTCGACCGCGTGCCAGCACGACCTGGTCAACCGCGCCCCAGCGGTGCAGAGTCGCGGCTTGCCAACACTGCAGGTCGACGGCGTGCCAACGTTGCTCCCGCAGGACAGCAGCGCACCTACTTTGCAGATGATTGGCGTGCAGTGCCTCGTCACCTGCACAGCGCACACACCACATCAACTACGTGCTGACGACTGCCTCTGATGCACCACGTCGACCTCGGGATACCATCACCGAGGTCGTCCTCGCCAAAACCACCCGGGCGAACGTCGCATGCCTCCGCAGAACCTCGTCACCCAGGTAACCTGGTCGACCGAGCAACCAGGTCGACCAGAGGCTCCTGTGCGTGCCCGTCGACCACCCAGGTCGACGACCACTTCCGGTCGACCTCCCCAGGTCGACCACTGCCTCTGGTATGTGCCGGTCGACCTCCCAAGTCGACAGCCACCTCCAGTCGACCTCCCCAGGTCGACCACTACCCCCTGGTCGACCAGCTCCAAGTCGACGTCACTCCAGGTCGACCAGAAGGTCTGGTCGACTCCTCAGGTCGACCAGAAGGGCTGGTCGACTTACCGGGTCGACCAGAAGGGCTGGTCGACTTACCAGGTCGACCAGAAGGTCTGGTCGACTTCCCAGGTCGACCAGAAGGTCTGGTCGACTGCCCAGGTCGACCACCCGAAGTTGGCGCCCTCACGAAGTCGGCGCCCATGCAGTGGCTCCCCGTGCAGGTCGACCAACCTCGTCGACCAACTCGCCCACTGCTGCAGGTCGGCTGCACCCTACACCCGACCACGAAGTCGGCACCGCCCAAGCGAGGACGGGGCCAACATACAACTCCCGTTGACAACCCTCTCTACCTCTACCCTCCCCCCTGTCTCCCCTCTCCTTCACCGATTCTTCCAGGCTGTTCTGCATCAACCTCCTCCTGCAGCAACCCCCTCTGCCACCTCTCTAGCAGCGGCGCCAGCAGCGGCGCCAGCAGCAGCGTCTACAACGGCACCAGCAGCGGCACCAGCAGCAGGACCAGCAGCGGCACCAGCAGCAGGACCAGCAGCGGCACCAGCAGCAGGACCAGCAGCGGCACCAGCAGCAGGACCAGCAGCGGCACCAGCAGCAGGACCAGCAGCGGCACCAGCAGCGGCACCAGCAGCGGCACCAGCAACGGCACCAGCAGCACCAGCAGCGGCATTAGCAGCGGCACCAGCGGCGGGACCAGCAGCGGCACCAGCAGCGGCACCAGCAGCGGCACCAGCAGCGGCACGTGCAGCGGCACCAGCGATACCAGCGGTCATCCGCTCCTTCCACACCTCCCTCTCTGAGGACTCCCATGAGGAGTTCCTTGACCTCCACCTCTGTGACCCTTCCCTTCTACCCATCACTTTCGACCTTTCTGGGACACCAGTATTCGCATTCTCCTCTGCTCCCTCCGTTTTCATCCCTACCACGTATGAGGAGGCCATGGCTTGCCCCGACGCCCCACTCTGGCTCGCCGCCATTATCAAGGAGCTGGAGGCCTTTGTCGCCAACTCCTCCTTTGTTGATGTGCCTCGCCCTCCCTCCTCTACGAACGTGGTGAAGGGGAAGTGGGTGTTTCGCGTCAAACAACTGCCAGGGGAGCCGCCCGTCTACAAGGCTCGTTACTGCGCCAAGGGTTTCACGCAGCAGTATGCTGTTGACTTCTTCGACACCTTCTCCCCCACCGCCAAGCCCACCACCGTTCGCGCCGTACTTGACCTCGCCGCTCGCCTCAACATGGAGATCCACTCAATGGATGTTTCCAACGCCTTTCTTCAAGGCGTGCTACGTGAACTGATCTACATGGAGCGTCCGGCCGGCTTTCACCTCCCCTTCCCAGCAGACTCTGTCTGGCAGCTGCGTCGACCTGTGTATGGGCTCCGACAGGCCCCGAGGGAGTGGCATGCTAAGCTTGCCGCCACCCTTGCTGAACTTTGGTTTCGCACCTCCCGCTCCGACGTCAGCCTCTTCCTCCGCGCCTCCCCCTCCCCCTTCTACATCCTTGTGTATGTCGATGACATGATTATGCTCACCGCCGACCTTGCTGAGTTGGAGCGTGTTAAGGCTGAGTTGGGTAGCTGTCTCAAGTGCAAGGACTTGGGAGAGCTGCAGCATTACCTGGGCATGACCATCACCTGCCACCGCTCCACCCGCACCATCTCTCTCTCTCTCTCTCTCTCTCTCTCTCTCTCTCTCTCTCTCTCTCTCTCTCTCTCTCTCTCTCTCTCTCTCTCTCTCTCTCTCTCTCTCTCTCTCTCTCCCAGGGTCATTACTTGCAGCAGGTCTTGGAGCGGTTTGACATGGCCCGGGGCGGTGCCCAGCATACTCCTCTTTCTGTCGGGCACCACCTCTCTCCACCCACCTCCCCCTCAACCTCCTCCCATCATTCTCCTGAACTCATCGGCTCCCTCATGTACGCCATGGTCTCCACTCGCCCTGACCTTGCCTACCCCATCAGCGTCCTCGCTCGTTTTGTTGGCGCAGGCAAGCATACGGAAGAGCACTGGCAGGCCGCCAAGCGTGTCCTCCGGTACCTTCGTGGCACCAAGGACTATGTCCTTACCCTTGGCGGCCCTTCCCCACCTCTCCTCAGCGGCTACAGTGACTCCTCCTGGGCTGATTCCAGGCCGGATCGTCGCTCCTCCCAGGGCTATGGCTTCTCTCTTGGCAGCGGCCTTATCAGCTGGCGCTCCACCCGCTCCTCAGCTGTCACGCTCTCCTCCTGCGAGGCGGAGTTGTATGCCGCCACCATGGCTGCGCAAGAGGCCCGCTGGCTCACCTTCCTCCTTGAGGAACTTGGTGCCCCCCAGCGCTGTCCCACCATTTGGTGTGACAATGCTAGCACCATTCACCTCACTAAAGATGCTGTGTTTCACGGGCGCTCCAAGCACATTGAGCTCCGTCATTTCTTCATTCGCGATCTTGTTCAAGCGGGGCACCTTCGGCTTGACAAGGTTGACTCGGTGGCCAATCTTGCCGACATCTTCACAAAAGCTCTTCCTCATGTCGCTCACTCTTTCCTACTTCGTCTTCTTGGCCTCACTCCTCCTAAGTCGCCTCCCGCCTCTTGATTCTAGCCTTCTAGCCTTATGCATGTTGGGGGGTTGTGTTGTAATTTCATAATCCATACAACATACATAGGCTAGAATTAGATCTGTATCACATTTATAAATTGGGGGGTTGTTTAGTGTACCCTCCAACCACATTTTGTGGTTGGTTGGGATTGATCCTTAGCTCAACCAATCCCAACCAACACACATTTGTGGTTGCTTGGGCCACAAGCAAGCTCACCCATTGGCCAACTTATTGGCCAATAGGGTAAGCTTCCCTCTCATCTCTCTCTTGCTCATTGTTTGTACTAAAGGGCCTCTTGGCTCATTATTCAATACATCAATTCTAGCTTTTCAACAGGAGGCTACTGAGCGGAGGTTGTTTTCGACTTCCTTGAGCGCAGACTCAAGGACCTCGATAGTGAGCTCGCTAGGGTGCTTCAGAAGAAGCGCGTCACGAGCTGAGGCAAGGCGGTTAGGGAGGCTAGTGGCGATGAAATAGATAGTAATCGCCATAGGGGGAGGGAGCAGTGCAAGCTGTGCGTCAGTGCAGGCAGCGCGGTAGCTAGAGTCAAGCGAGCGCAGGTGAGCGTATCAAAGTAACTAGGCAAGAATGAATGAACTAGCAGAAGTTTGGGTACAAATATGAAACCCTAATTTGGGTTGTACCCCATATTGGCTACCCCACTACAGCCTACAAGCATAATACAGTTTAACACACCCCCATAGGCAAAGTGGGGGAGAACAAAGGGTCACAAGACCAGTCCAGCAAAGCAAAGCAAAGCCCAGGGTGGATCACAACGTCACCACACTCCGAGCACAAGTAAAGGCCACAAGGCCAGTTCACATGCAGTGCTAGATATAGTACAAGACAAGCAACACAGTGATCAAAACCTAGCAAGCAAGCAACAAGATATATATAAAGTACAGTACAAAGAATGTCAAGCAGTGAGCAAGTGAGGAAACGTGGACACAAGGCCTAAAGAAGTACAGTGCCGCTGATGATCACTAGGCGGGAGCGCCTTGGTGAAGATATCAGCAGTGTTGGCCTTCGAGTCCACGTACACAAGCCGAAGCTGACCGCGCTGCTGAAGCTCTCGAGCAAGAAAGTAGCGAAGAGCAATGTGCTTCGTCCTGTGCTCCAGTCTGTGCTCCTGACACAAGGCAAGAGCCGCCTTGTTGTCACCGTACAGAACTGGAGGAGAACTAGGCCGCTCTCCCAAGTCAGTCAGCAGGTAGGTGAGCCAGCGTAACTCCTGTGCAGCCATGGCTGTGGCGTAGATCTCAGCCTCACAACTAGAGCCGAGAACAGAGGAAGAGCGGGTGGACCGCCACGAGACAGAACCAGAGCCAAGGCTGAAGGTGTAACCCTGTGACGACCGCTGCGTAGCCAGGTCGTCCACCCAAGAAGCGTCCGAGTGACCAGTGAGGACAACTCTGTCGCGTCCTCCAAGCACCAGCCCCATGCCTGATGTACTGCACAAGTAGCGCAGCACCCTCTTAGCAGCCTCCCAATGCTCTCGCCTGTGTCTCCCAGGCGCAACGTAACGAGCAAGGATGCTAAGAGGGTACGCGAGGTCAGGTTGCGTGCAAGTCATCAGGTACATGAGGCAGCCCACAAGCTCTGGGTACGGGCCACTCGGCTCTACGGACTCGTCCGGAGGTGGAGCTGAGAGCGAGTGGCTGGTAGCCAGAGGTGTGGCCTGTGGCGAGGAGAACTGGAAGCCGAAGCGCTGAAGGACCTGCTGCACCATGTGTGACTGAGTCAGGGTGATGGTGCGGCGAGCTCTGTCCCGGGTGATCTGCAAGCCAAGGTAGCTACGCAGCTCACCCAGGTCAGTGCAGGTGTGTCTCTTCTGCAGCTCCGACTTCACACGAGCGAGTGCCTCAGTGTCAGCAGTAGCAAAGACCAAGTCGTCGATGTACACGAGAATGTAGAACGGCGGCAGCGACGTGTCTGTGCGCAGAAACAGCGACGGGTCAGCAGTAGACGGCGCGAACCCAAGAGCCGCAAGTGTAGTCCTCAGTGTGTCGTGCCACTCGCGTGGCGCCTGGCGGAGACCGTAGACTGGCCGGCGGAGGCTCCACTGGGTACCAGGAGGAAACGACCCAGTAAAGCCAGGTGGGCGGCGCAGCCAGATCTCCTCGTGCAGGCTGCCCTGCAGGAACGCTGTGCTGAAGTCAAGAGAGTGAAGCTCGTAGTCACGCTGAGCAGCAACGTGCAGCAGAACCCGAAGAGTGGTCATCTTCGGGGTGGGGGAGAAGGTCTGGAAGAAGTCGACCCCCTGACGCTGACTGAAGCCTCTAGCAACGTAACGAGCCTTGAAGACAGGCGGAGAACCTGGCGGCCGCTTCACCCTGAAAATCCACATGCCATCGACGATGTTCGCCCCAGGAGGGGGAACCTCGTCGACGTAGGTGCCTGTGGACTTCCAGGATGCCATCTCTGCGTCCATGGCTGTCTGCCACTGAGAGGAGTAGGGACCCGAGATCGCCTCTGCGTAAGTGCGCAGAGTGGGGATGTCTAGTGCATCCGGGTCTCCCTCAGGGGCAAGCAACGAGGCCACGAGATGAGGTACAGCAGCCGCGAGAGAGTCAAAGTCCTCCTGCCTGTCCTCAAGGACGTCCGTGCCAAGAGCACACTCACCCCCGACGGACGGAGGACAGACAGACGCAGACTCAGACCCAGCAACAAGGCGAGCAGCGTAGTCTAGACGACAGGCAGCAGCAAAGTCAACCAACTCAGCGACCAGAGCAGACGCAGCCGAGGACTCAAAGGTAGGGTCAGTGACAACAGTAGCTAGGAGACGCGTGACAGTAGGGTGCTCAGTGCGATACCGGTCAGACTCAGGGTCCGGAACAGCAGGCAAAGAGGACGCAGGAGGAGACGGCAGAGGGACACGCTGAGGAGCAGTAGAGGGACGCAGAGTCATGTAGTGAGTGCCTGGGACAGGAGGAGGACGCTCACGACGGACACGACGACCAGTGCGAGCAGTACGGACAGGCGACGCAGGACGAGACTCAGGCTCACGACGCTCTGTAAGACCTCCTGTGGGACCAGTGTAAGGAGAGGGAGCAAGGAGAGGCGAGGCAGGTGGTAACTGTGACTGCGGCTGGACAGTCGGAGGACACTCTACGGAGGGAGGAGGACAAGGAGGAGGAGCCTGCCCAAGAACCTGCTGAAGGAGCGGTACGAAGTACGGCCGCGGCCGCGCAGCGTCTCCAGAAGCAGAAGAGACTCCAGCGTCCGGGTCCCCAGCACCAGCAGCAGCGCCACCGCTCGGGTCCTCAGCTCCAGCAGCAGCTCCACCAGGTGGGTCCGCAGCACCAGCAGCAGCACCACCCCCAGGGTCCGCAGCACCGCAAGGAAGAGCACCCCCAGAGTCGGCAGCTAC